CTAAATTATTTCTATTTAAAATAAATGTTGTTCTTTTGAACTTTCTATATACCAGAATCCTGGAAAAAAAATGTATCACGGTTTCCTCAAAAATATAAAGCTGCACAACAGTTTTCAGCACTTATAATAATAATAATAAATGAGCACCAAATCAGCATATTTGAATGACTTCTGAAGGATCATGTGACACTGAAGACTGGAGTAATGGCCGCTGAAAAACAAATACAGTTCATTGATTATAATAAAGATGGTTAATTTAAATTGTAATATTTCACATTATTACTGGTTTTATTGTATTTTTGATCAAATAATACCTTATGCTCAGCTTTGGACTTCTTTCAAAAACTGTGCAAAAAAATCTTACCAATCCCAGACTTGAATGGTAGCCTAGTTCTGTCCACTTTTGTATGTTCCAAAGTAAGATTTCATTAACATTTACTCACAATAATTGTAGTAAATTGCATTTTCAAAACCCCTTTCCCTGTAGGCCTATTAGATCTCAAGTGGGAGGTAACTACCATTGAGGATTTGCTATTAATGCATTGCTGACACAAAAGTCAAAAGAAAACAATACTTGTTTCAAATATTTTCTATATTTTTCTGTCACTGATCTGTTGGTGAATTGTACATATGTAACTGATTATCCTATGTCAAAAATAATAGACAATAAGGAAGGCTTGCTGTATAAATGACACCAAATGACATTGACTCTAAAATCCTAACCAATGAAGTTTTATAAAATCAAATCTGGCAACTAATCAGTGGTTAGAAAGAGGTGAAATATGAGGGTAAAATTAAAGTAATTATCACCTTTTAGAGGGAATTTTGTTTTTGTAATTACCACAATAGCAGTTACAACTAGTAGCAGCTACAACTTTGACAACATGAGGTCTAAAAGTACTCTAGTCAGAATCAACCAAATAAGTTTATTTAACAAAAAGATTTACATCTTCAAACTACTGGGAAAAAAAATTAGGTCAGGTTTACACAACAGAAATCAAAAGGAACATAATTCACTGTATGAGCTTTCTCCTCATACTAACACGAGTCCATAATTTTCTGGCACCTCTGGCTATGGTCGTCCTCAATGGGAAACGGAGGCTTTTGAAGGGCTCTCTCATACACGTCAGCATCCCAGGCTGGGAGCTTTGCAAGTGCTCATGGGAAATACAGTTGATCCGTCTTAACTGTTTGCTATAGTAACTGCGCAGATGATGTAGCTCCTCCACAGCAGCTGCAGAGATGATAGAGAGCTCAGAAGGAGCGCTAACCAGATCTGTCTTCGTCTGGTCAGCATTAGCAGCACAGTTCCGAGTTAACAGTTGTTTTTGCCTCCTTTTCGGTGATGAAGACTGCTGTTCTGGGGAGTTTTTAAGACCTTTCTCTTCTTCACTTGCACAGTTCTGTTCTTCTACGAGGTTGACCTCGACATCTACCTCAAATACTGAGGTTGGCTTTACATACTCGCTTGCTTCCGAAGCAAGACTTTCAATGTGGTTTTGAGCAAGTCTCTTCTCCATGTTTTGGTGATTCTTATGGATTTTAGTTTTGTTATGCCTCTGAACAGCCATGTTGGACACAATCAATGCTGTCTCAACTTCCTCTTGTGTCTCATCCTGAGGAAAGAGAAGAAATTACTCATTTTTATTACTAATAGAGCTGTCTTTAAGAGAAATGCAGAACTAGAGAGGGAGTTAATGGCCCACGCAAAACATTAAAGGCACGGTTCACCCAAAAAATGACAATTCTGTCATTTCATACTCACCCTCCACATTTCACAAACCGATATGACTTTCTTTCTTCTGCTGAACACAAAGATATTTTTTCAGAATGCTGGTAACCAAACAGTTGGCAGTAGCCATCGATTTCCATAGTATTTTTTTTTTTCCAGTATGGAAGTCAATAGTTACCATTAACTGTTTGGTTTCCAACATTCTTCAAAATATCTCCATTTGTGTTCAGCAGAAGAAAGTCATACAAGTTTGGAACAACTTAAGGGTGCGTAAATGATGACAATTTTCATTTTTGGGTGAAGTATCCTTTTAAGACGGTTAGTTTCAATTGTAATGTTCATTTTGTCTACAACACAACATGCAAATCAACACACCATGGAATATATTAAGCATATTTTATAGCCAAGAAATAATATGAGTTTTGAGGTGAATGCAATAAACATCATGATAGGTGACTATCATAAACATGCGCACAAGCAGGAAGATAGATGGTAGATGGTAGATGTTTCCCTCATTAAACGCTTGAATGTTTCTTAGGCAATGTCTACATGCTTTTGTTTTGCGAATATGGAATAAATGAACTGTACTTTTTAGTTCTTCTCCTTACGAACTAGAGAAGAGTCTTGACTTTCTTGACCCCTGATTTTCTGTCATCACTGTCAGCCGGTCTTTTTCCTTTTACTTTGGCACTACTTTTCTCCGCAGCACTTTCTGACACTTTCTTTACCTGTGGGGCGGCACAACAGCTCTTTACCTGTTGGTGGGCACTATAAAAAAAGTCATTTAGATAGGTCGGCACTAGAAACTGTAGGAACACAAGAGATACAAGGGGTTACTACATGTTGAGGGATCATGTAGATGAAGCGACACCCTCAACAGAAGAGGTTTCACTCATGATGGGAAAAGACTTGTATTACATGATGTACACAGTGGGCCGCTGTTTGTAGCTGATCCAACTCCACAATGACTGCTGGGACAGGGTTGTTTAGAGGGTGATAAATGCATCATCTGTGAGCCATTTAAACTGAAAGGAAGTCCAATTTGGTTTTGCATCAACTAGGCCACATTGATATTCCGAAATCCCTCACTTTTTGGAGATAATATTCTTTTGGAGTGGTTTTCTCTGCCTTCTCAAGCTTTTCTAATGAGAGAAGTTTAGAATACAGTATGATCTCTTGCACAGAAAACTTCCAGTATAAGTCTAAAATAAATAAATTGTAACTAATAGTGTAAAAACAGTAACTAATTGTGTTTCCTTCATTTAAAATTAACTCACTGTAGTTTGGGGTTAACATTACAATGTTGGAAATCAAACTAAGAAAACACTTTATGAATGTGTAAGTTGCTAGTTACTAAAAAGCATTTTAACTAAGTGAACTGTGATTCAGCTTTCAAACACTCTGATGGCATCTACCTGAAACACAATAAGACTGACAGAGGTACAGATAAACACAAAAGATCAGCAAATACTACAGAACAGAGACCAAAGGCCAGATTCAATACATATACTCTCAAATTTGATACACAACACTGAATTAAACAGATGTTCAGTTAAAATTGAGCAAATACAATAAATATTTTTATTGCCAAGTAGCATAAATGTAACAAATAAAAGAATCAGAAGAGTCTGGATTGAATCTGGCCAATTGTCACTACTGAAAGAAGTTCAGGAAAGTATTGACACTCATACAACCATTAAGAAAAGCTTAAATCTAGAATGTGCTAGAATCATTGAAAAAACCAGGAGCACTTGCACATGAAATATGAAAACGTCTGCTGAATTTGTGGACTCTTACAGTAGCGTGTGACATCACTCTCCTCATCTTCATAGTGATGGAGTGATTGCCATTTTTCAGGAGAGCTGCCTTACGGCCCAACTTCAAGTAGAAGTGCGTTGTGTAGGGAGTGAAGCTAAAGTCCTCACTTATGAATGAAAGAGAACAGAGTTAAAGAACAAAACTAAAAATACAAAGTAGTTAATATAATTGTACTTAAGCTATCAAATATAAAAATACCTGAAGTAGCCATGCAACAAAAGGTGGATGATAATAGACTCCACTTCCACGCGTGACAGGGACGTGACCTTTATCGTTTTGCGATGCTTAGCGGGCCCTTTTCCCATCCAAGCGTCACAGACTTTCAGAGGGGTCAACTTTTCATCCATAGAGCTGGCCATTTCTACTATCGCAACAACATCTCGAGCATGTTTGGTGATGTCCGTTGTGATGTAGTCTGAAAAAAAAAAATCTAACCATTGAATAATTCACCTAATTGACAAAAACTGGTAGAGTTAGGTTGGTAGAAACGTGTGTGAGGGACTCTTACCGTTGCCGTGCCGACAGACATCACACATTTGGTTGCACTCGTCATCATTCCAAACTTCATCAAAATGAATGGCCATCATAGCACGACGACACCTATATGCACACACAAGAGTCATGTCTTAAAAAAATACAACCCTTAAGCAGTCATATAACTGACAGGCCACATGAAGCTGAAGTAGTGTTAAAAGTCTGGAACACATGACACAACGTTTGCCCAGAGTTTTGCACTGATTTGCAGTCTGGACGAATCTAGCCAGTCTGATAACAAGTTGACAGATTTCACGGAAAATCGCTTAGTATACGAGGCAGAAAATGCCTTAGTTTCAGAAACCAACAACAGTGGTATCCTGCATATCCTGTGTATTTTGACTCACCGGTCCACATTTTGACAATATGCCACCATATTCTGTAGCTTCTGCTGCCCAGTGTTCTCCATCACAACCATTGTGCTTATTCTGAAGATGTCTGCA